TATACATTTATTGTGGTGCAAAAATTCTTGAAATTTGTGCATAAGAATTCAAAACAGGGCCCGGCGTGGTGGCGCAAGTGGTTAAGGTCCTCACCTAGCACGCCTGGGATCCCATATGGGCGCCGGTTCTAATCCCGGCAGCCCTGCTTCCCTTCCAGCTCCCTGCCTGTGGCCTGGGAAAGCAGTCGAGGACGGCCCAAAGCTTTGGGACCCTGCACCCATGTGGGAGACCCGGAAGAGGCTCCTGGCTTCGGACCGGCATAGTATCGGCCATTGCGGCTCACTTGGGGAGTGAGTCATCAGATGGAAGATCTTCCTCTCTGTCTCTCCTCCTCTCTGTATATCTGCCTTTCCAATAAAAACATAATAAAAATAAATCTTTTAAAAAAAAAGAATTCAAAACACTCATGGAAAATCTGTATAATGAAAAAAAAACTATTGAAAAAAAACCTAGGGCCCAGTGCAATAGCATAGGGGTTAAGGTCCTCGCCTTGTAAGCGCCGGGATCCCATATGGGTGCCTGCTCTAATCCCGGCGGCCCTGCTTCCTATCCAGCTCCCTGCTTGTGGCCTGGGAAAGCAGTCGAGGATGGCCCAAAGCCTTGGGACCCTGCACCCTCGTGGGAGACCTGGAAGAGGCTCCTGGCTTTGGATTGGCTTAGCTCCAGCCATTGTGGCCACTTGGGGAGTGAATCAGCGGACAGAAGATCTTCCTGTCTGTCTCTCCTCCTCTTTGTATATCTGCCTTTCCAATAGAAATAAATAAATCTTAAAAAAAAAAAAAACTATGGATTTTAAAGTTGGTGGGTCAGGTGCATTTGGAACAGTAGTTAAGATGCAGTGAAGATGCCCACATCAGAATGTATGGGTCTGAGTCCCATCTTCCTGCTTACGTGCACCCTAGGAGGCAAAAACAGATGGCTCAACAGGCTGGGTTCCTGCTCCCTAATGTAACCACGCCCAAACACTGGCTATCGTGGCCATCTGAGGAGTGAGCCAGGGGATGGAAGCTCTCTGTCCTTCTTCAAATGAATCTACAAATAGAATTTCAATATATTTTTTTTCCATCAAAATACCTGCTGGCCACCTGTGTTGCTGGCATCCCATCCTGGAGTACTGGTTCATGTCCTGGCTGCTCTGCTTGCTATCTACCTCCCTGCTAAGGAGCCAGGGAAAGCAACAGAAGATAGAAAATAAGTGGGCCTGTAGCACGTAGTCAGATGGGACACCCACATACAAGCTCTGGCTTCCGGCTTCGACCTGGTCCATCTCCAGCTGCTATAGCCATTTGGGGAGTGAATCAGCTTCCCCCCGCTCTCTCCTTAACTCTGCCTTTCAAATAAATCAATCTTAAAAAAAAAAAGTAATATCTTTAAATTTCATTCTTCACAAATTTCCTGAATTATTTGTGTATTTGGAGGGTTCACAGTTATCTCCCCGATATTGATCTCTGGTTTAATTGCAGTATAATGGGGAACATATTTTATGCTTTTTAAAAGATTTATTTGAAAAGCAGAGTTATAGAAAGAGGGGGAGAAAGAGGGAGAGACAGAGAGAAAAAAAAAAAAAAGAGAGAGAGAGATCTTCTATCTGCTGGTTCACCCTCCTAATGGCCACACAGGCCAGGCCAGGCTGAAGCCAGCTCCCCCACAGGAATGGAGCAGCTCAGGACTTTGGGACATCCTCCGCTGTTTTTCCATGGAGCTAGATTGGAAGTGGAGTAGCTGGGACTTGAACCTGTGCCCATAGTATGCTGGCATTGTAGGTGGCAGTTTTACCTGCTACACCACACTTCGTGGATGCTGGCATTACTGTTCGTGTGTATCTCAGCATAAACATGAACCAGCTTATATCAGTGGCATTAATCTTACACACATGAAGTAGGGACCACTGAGAAGGGAGAGTGTGGAGAGCTCCCATGTGCGAGCTGTGATGACGTGCACACAGTTCACAGCAAGGTGACCTCCTCGCTCCCCAACTTCCCATGTGACGTGGAACAAGTGAATCACTTCAGCCTTTGATTCCCAGGCAAGTGAATAGGTTCCTTCACAGGACCACTGCATGTACGCTGAGGAACCTCAGCAATAAGATGTAAAACTATATATTAACTTGTTCAAAAGGCAGAGTGGCTGAGAGAGAGAATTTTCCACCTGCTATTTCCTTCCCCACATGACTGTAAGAGCAGGAGCTGGGCCAGGCTGGAGTCGGGAGCCAGGGACTCTGGGTCTCACACAGAGGGAGTAGGTACTGGTGGTGGTGCAGGCACTTGGGCCTTCTTAGATGACCAGCGATGACCAGATTATTGAAAGTGGAACAGCCAGGACTCAAATCTGCACTCTCCTGTGGGATGCCAGCGTGGCAGGGAGAGATTTAACACCCCGACTCCAGCCCCAGCAGCAAGATTGAAGGGCAGTTCCTTAGACTCCACTACATTCACATTTCAATAAGACTTTCCTGGACATGAATGTGGAGGCAGAAGCCAACCCTGCTCTAAGAACAGCTGAGCATGTGGGCCCTCGTGGAGTGGATGTTGGGGTAACAGTGGTTGGGCCACTACCAGAACACCCCATCCTGTGTGAGCATGCCTGGGATTAAGTCTCACCTCTACTTCTGATCCAGCTTCCTGCTGATCCGCCTGGGAAGTCCTCAGGTCTCTGCCACGCCACAACAGGCCTGAATGGAGCTCCAGCAGCCATGGACTGAAGCAGTGGATGGAAAAGTACCCTGCCTTGGTCTCTATCTCTGGGTCACTCTGACTTTTAAATAGGAAACAATTTTATATACATAAAAGATTTATTGTGTTTTTAATTGAAAAGGCAGATTTACAGAAAGAAGAGATATAAAAGGAGATCATCCATCCACTGATTCACTTCCAAGGGGCCACAACAGCCAGAGCTGAGCCAATCCAAAGCCAGGAGCCAGGAGCTTCTTCCAGGTCTCCCACGTGGGTGCAGGGTCCCTTGGCCTGGGCTGTCCTCTGCGGCTTTCCCGGGCTGTAAAGGGAGCCAGATGTGATGGGAAGTGGAGCAGCTGGGACATGAACCACCACGCATATGGGATCCTGACACTTGGAAATGGAGGGTTAGGTAATTGAGTCATTGTGTCAGGTCCAGAAAATAAGTTTTTTTTTTTTAATGGATCTGAAACAACTTTCATTTGAACAAAATCAAGTTAAAATAAGTATCCAGTATTTAGTGTCTTCTAAGTCTGAAGAAGTCGATCATTCAAAATAGAAAATTGAGTTCCCTAAACTTCGTTTTTAAAAGATTTATTTTATTTTTATTGCAAAGTTTGATATACAAAGAGGAGAAGAGACAGAGAGGAAGATTTCTCATCCATTGATTCACTCCCCAAGTGACCGCAAGGGCCAACCCGAATCCAAGAGCCCAGAGCTTCTTCCTGGTCTCCCACAAGGGTGCCGAATTTCAAGGCTTTGGGCCATCCTCAACTACTTTCCCAGGCCACAAGCAGGGAGCTGCAGGGAGCTGGAAGGGAAGTAGGGCAGCTGGGATTAGAACCGGTAACCATACAGGATCCTGGCACATGCAAGGTGAGGATTTTAGCCGCTAGGCTACCACACCAGGCCAGAGTGCCCTAAACTTTCTTGTTACTGGTGCTAGTTGTTTATCTCAGTTCAAATCAACCTTGAGTATCTCGGGTCTCCCCCATACCTGCTAAAGGTTCAGACTCCCTTCTCCCCACCAGCTCCTCTCCTGGGTTATTACCGAAGCCCTTTAGGGTACACTGGTTTGTACAATCATTCTTGCCTACACCTCGCTGATACTCTAACCTGCAGAATGGATGTATGCCCAACGTGGGTCTGTAATCTTGAGTCTCCAGAGACACAGCAGGCCATCTGGGATCCCGGGGAATAAAGAGATGTGAGGGAACAGAGATGCAGAGAAGAGAGACTGTGGGCTTCGCGTGCCCAGGCACAAGGGGCCAGGGTGAGGCTGTTTTGATGGGGGGGGGGTGGTCTGTACATCTTGGGAGTGTGCTAGAGAGCTAGGGAAAGAACGTGAGTTAAAGAAATGAATTCTGTGATCTCTCTCCACCTTCCCCATGCTGAAGATTACAGCAGGACCACGGACCTGTTTGGAGACATAAATGACATTTCTTCATCAAGTGATGAGGACAACCAGCTCCCTGGGCCAGGACAGCGTGGTGTGAGTACAGTCCCGGGTCCCAGCCAATCCCCGCCTTTCAAGGCTTATCACGAAGCCTGGGTCTCACTCAAGTTAGGATACGGTATGGATAATGGAATATCTGACAAATGAGTGTTTTCCTATCTATGCTGGGATTTTTTTAAGTTCTAATAACTTTATTTTCAAGGGTTGGCACTATGGCGTGGTTGTCTAAGGCTTCTGTTTGTGTTGCTAGCATCCCATATGGATACCAGCAAGTGTCCCAGCTGCTCTACTTCCTATCCAGCTCTCTGCTAATGCATGTGGGAAAGCAGCAGAAAATGGCCCAAGTCCTTGGAACCCTGCACCCATGTGGGAGACTCTGAGGAGACTCCTGACTCTTGGCTTCAGATCAGCTCAGCTCCAGCTTTTGTGGGGACTGAACCAGCAAAAAGAAGATTTCTTTCTGTCTCTCCTTTTTGTAAATCTACCTTTCAAATAAAGTCAAATAAGTCTTTAAATAAGTGAATACATATTTTTTTTATTCTTTGAAAGAGAGACAGACATAGAGAGGCCTTCTGCTTACTCCCCACAAGTTGACAACAGCCAGGACTGGGGCAGGCCAAACCCAGGAGCCCAGAACTGCATCCGGGTTTCCCACGTAGGTGACAGGGACCCAGGGACTTAGGCCATCACCTGCTGCATCATGCCGCGTACCATCAGGAGGCTGGGAGGGGAAGCAGAGGCAGGACTCGACCCAGGCACTCTGACACGGGATGCAGATACCCCAAGCAGCACCTGAAACATTGTGCCAAGTGTCTGCTGCACTGCTTTGGGAACGGCCAGGTGTAAGAGGGCACAGGGAGAACCTCTGGGAATGAGGCTGCAGGTGAGTCAGCAACACAGCCACTCTCCCTAGCAGCATCGGGTAGTAGACCTTGTCTTCCTTGGTGGGTTTCATTGTGCTGTGGGAGAGGAGGGCTGAGGTTTGAGGAACAATATTGGAAAGGTTACTGTTTTAGCCAGCAATTTGCTTTTTTGCAAACCTGCACCTGCCTGCTGCAGGGAGCAAAACTACAACATGAGCCGACGCCTGGCAGCTCTCACCTTCTGCTCCTCTCGCAGGATGAACTCCCAGCACTTCAGGACCAGCAGGGGAAGGATCCTGTCTCTGAAACCAGAATAGAAATAGAGATTCCCAACATCAACTCGGATCTGGGAAGTGAACTGTATTTTGTGAAGCTCCCCAAGTTTCTCAGCATAGAATCCAAGTAAGAGGACTGCAATTTTTAAGCCATTAAATAAGATTATGGAGCATGAAATATTGTTTCTTATAGATAACGACGTGGCTAATCCTGCTGTAATTCTGATAAATAATAGTTAGGATGCCCAGTGCTAGAAAAATGCTGGGTTTTTTGACAGTCAGAGAGTGGAGGAGAGACAGACAAACCAGACAGAAGGTCTCGCCCACTGGCTTCCCCGCCCCAGATGTCTGCAACAGCTGGAGCTGAGCCGGGCCCAGGACAGTGGGCAGGAACACAACTGACGTCTGCCATGTGGATGTCGAGGATTCACTCCCTCAGGTCATCACTGCTCTCTGCTGGTGCCTGCGTCAGCAGGCTGGTGGATCAGGAGCTGGGGCCAGAAACCCAGCTGAGGCCCTCCTGAGAGGGCACGAGAGCATCCTGACCTGTAGCTGCACCACTCCCCCAGGTGTCTGCCTCAGGGGGAAGGAGAGAGAGGGAGAGAGAGAGAGAGAGAGAGAGAAAGAGAGGGATCACTGTGTTCATCACAAACTCCTGAGAAGACAAGGCTTCTAAGAGTGGCTCTGGCGTGTCCTCATTCGCTCAGGTGCATGCCTGCCAATTAAATGCCACACACTTCCTTCAAACAACACTGAGGAGCTGGCCTGTATGTTGCCTATACTTTGGAAGGCATTACTTCAAAGAAGGCTTGGAGTCACCTCTCGGTTTTGTTTCAGACAGTTACGTTTTAGAAACCAACCTCCAGAAAGTGCTGTCACCTGCACCCTCCTGGAACTAAGGCTCACAGGAAACTGTTTTCTCCAGGGATTCTCAGAGGGGCATGGTGCGTGTCTCGGAGGCGCGGGGTGTGTGTCTCAAGACGCGTGGATCGTGTCTCAGAGGCACATGGTGCATGTCTCAGAGGGGCATGGTGTAGAGAGGACTTACTGATGCCATAGTCATATTCATGATGAAATGTGGCTAACAGGACGTTACAAAAACACTTTTCAGGCCTTTTGATCCTCGGGTTTATGAAGATGAATTTGAAGGTGAAAAAATGCTTTACGAGGAAGACAGGATCAGGCTGAAACTCAAGGTACCGCCCCATGCTCCAGTCCTCTTTGTTCGAAGGTTTTCCTTCTAAAAGCAAAACCACAGTGACCACAACTTAAACCCTGAGCTTATGATGACCTTTTAGGCTTCCTGCTCAGTGAACATGGAACTCTTTGGAGCTGGGAACATCTCCCACACGGGTGCAGGCTCCGAAGGCTGTGCTCTACTGCTTTCCCAGGCCACAAGCAGGGAGCTGGATGGGACGTGGGGCAGCTGGGACACAAACCGGCGCCCAAATGGGATCTTGGCACTTGCAAGGAGAGGATTTAGCCATTTCACCAGGTCTAGCTAAATATTCTTGAAAATGGTTACCTGCTCCCTGCAGGATTCACAGTACTGAGGCAATGTGTGCGGTAGGGCCTGTGTTCTACAGTGCGTAGCTCCTGGCAAGCACACACTCTAGAAACGACTCAGACTCCTGTGCCTGGCCCCCACCTCCCCGAGGATGGCTCCCCTCCAGGAGGCCCTGGGTGGTGAAGCCAGCCACGCTCTTACAGGGACATCGTGTTCCTTAGCGGCACTTCCTCACAGTGTCTGCTGGAGCTCCCAAGGTAGCTCCCATTTTCTGTTATTTTATCTCAGAGTTCCTGCCCTTGTTGGTAGAATATATTTGGGTTTGAAAAAAGGGCTAAGGGACCCTTCCTTAGCTATTCTTTTGCTGGATCATAGCTCTCCAACAGACCCTGCCGTAGTGTTAACTGTCAGGCTCATGTGGGCCCCAGTCTTGTTCTCTCTCCTTCGGAGCTCTCAGTGGATCTACTAACACCTCCAGTCTGTGTCATGGTTGGCTGTGATGTGTGTTGCCCAGCCCTGGAGCTTGGGAAGGGTTTAAACAAAACACCTGCCTGGCTAACCCAGCATCTCCAGGTTATAGCAGACACGGCTCTATTATCACCTATGGATTCTTGGCATATGGCTATACTTACCTGGAGTCAAAGAAACAAACAAACACAAAAAGAAGAACAAGGGCTTGGTAACAAGGGTCTCCTAGCCCCCTTTGTGTTTTGAATCAGGTGGAAAACACCATACGGTGGAGGATACGCCGGGATGAAGAAGGAAGGAAGATCAAAGAAAGCAACGCTCGGGTAGTCAAGTGGTCAGATGGCAGGTGAGCCTGCCCAGAGGCCTGGGCTGAGGGACAGATTCTGGGGCTGACCTTGTCCTGCAAAAGTTCACTCAAGAACTGACCAGAGCCACGCCCTAAGCATTACCCAGGAAACCGGAGAGAAAGAGAGTTGAGGTCACACAGCTGAGCTAGTGGAAACACGAGACATGGAACGCAGGCAGGATCAACTCCACTGTGCCCACATCAGCGGTGTGGCAGCCCCAGCACACATCTCACCTCGCAGGTTCGGAAAACCGGTTTTCCATTTGGCTAGTAAAGCCCTAACTGGGAAAATCTCAGGTCAATTAGCCTCAGGTTTGAAGCTGAAGACATGACAGATATCACAACTGTCTACTTTGAAAGTAGATGATTTAGTTATCTTTTCAGAACTCAGGTTGCTGGGGCTGCCTCTGAGGACGGGAGCCTGCTCTGCAATGCCAGTGGGATAAGGATAACCCCCCCTCCAACCCTGCACCTGTTCTGGTTTCCAGCATGTCCCTGCACTTGGGAAATGAAGTGTTTGACATCCACAAAGCCACAGTGCAAGACAATCACAGCCACCTGTTCATCCGAGGGGACACGGGGCTGCTGGGACAGGCGGTCTTTAAGTCCAAGCTCACATTCAGGTAACTGCTCGTGTCTGCCCAGCACCCGTGGCAGCTGGGGAGCGCCCCCACGAAGGCGGCGGGCACAAGGCCGGCCTCTTCAGACCCACAGTTTTTGGGTGCCGTTCAGTAAGGCCCACGGTCAGGTTCAGATGTGAACTGGCTCCAAGGGGACTGCAGGTCGCTCTCCCTCAGAGAGCTAATTCAAAACTCACGCCAGACTGCTCTGGAACCCGAACACCTGCGCCCTCGCAGTAGCACCCCCCCCTCCCCCCGCCTGTGTTTGGCCTTCAGTGAAACCAAGCGGGGCTCAGAATGGCTCTGGGGGAGCGTGCAACGGGCGTGGCAGGCTTCCCGAGGCCCGGGGCAGCTCCGTGGGCGGCTGGGCGAGGTCCGAGCCCCTTCCGGAACCCTTCCCTCCGAGGCACACGGTGAGCTAGGAACAGGAGGGCTGAGAAGCCTCGTGCGACTCTCTGAACACGTGGCCATGCCATTGCGTACTTACAGCGAATGGAGGTGAGGCCGCGCCAAGTGTCCACAGGAAGTCCGAGGGTCCCTGCCAAGGGCCGGAAGTACCCGCCCTACGCCGGTCACGCTGCGGGGAGGTCTCAGTCTGATTTCCGGCCTCCTCATCCGCGCAGTGGAGGTACAGCCCGGCCTCAAGGCTGCTGTGTTAAGCCGCGCCGTGCACAGACCACACAGACTGTCCACGCCATGGACAGAACACAGTATATTTACGCTAGTCCCTGACTGGGACAGGCGCAGTTCCTGGCTGATTGCCTTTTTTCACTGCAGCCCGCAGCCCACAGTGGGGTCACAGGACCCGCACAGCAAGGCTCTTCCCCCCGTTCCACCTCAGTGCTTGGTCCAGATGCCTGCGCCCTGACCAGCTTCTTTTGCAGCTGCCCGCTGTGGTCAGGAGGGCATCTCTGCCCCAAGACTCTTGCTCTGGCTATGCTGTCCCTTGGGTCTGTGTTGGAGTCCCCTGCCTGCTGCCGCTACCATCTGGACTCTTGTTTTGACCTTCCAGTTTTGACCAGATGGAAGGACTAATCTTTCCTTTTCAAATTACACCTCCTAGCAGGTGCATCAGCCTTGCGGAACAGATTTGCTCTTCCGTCTCAGGGGTACTTTTGGGAAAAGTCCCTGATCCACTCCCCCTTCACCCCAGGCAGGGGCGGGGAACTTGCTAGGAAGCCAGGGAAGGCAGAGCCTGGGGTCCTCACTGCTGCCCTCTGGAGACATGACCTGTAAATAAACAGACATTTGCATGCCTTCCCCGGCAGACCTCATTCCATCGACAGTGCCACCCATAGGAAGATGACGCTGCCGCTTGCCAGCAGAATCTCTAACGCACAAAAGATCAGAATCCTGCCCATGGCCACCAGCGACCCTGAATGCTCCCGCACAGAAATGGTGAAGGTAGGCTGGTAGACTTGCTCCTGGAGTCTTCTGGATACCACGGACTGGGCCCCAGCCCTGAACATGAATCCACCTTTCTCAGTTCTGTTGCTTACTTCTCAGTTATCAGGGCAGTGGTGCTGTCCCCTGAGTGATAGCTGCTCGTGCGGCTGCAGCACACACAGGGCACAGGTGCTCACACTTGAATCTAGGAGATTTTGGAGAAAATCTGATGATTTTAGAAACACAGCTTTTGGCAGATATTGTAAAATGGTGTGAGACTCCAGGAAGGTCAAAGAACATTCTAGCCACATGTACCTAACAGGCAGATGGAAAGAAATGGAGACCTGTGTCTCGGGGACGATCCCCACCCTGCTGTCAGGAGCTGTAAGGGGTCTCATGGGGCTCTGGGTCGGAGTTTGGTGGAGATGAAGAGACAGGCTGCACCCAGTCAGGGCAGGCATCCTCTGGCCATGTGGGAGATTCTCTCTGGGCTGTGAAGGGCTGCACTGGAGACAGCACAGCCCTTAAGGACACGCCTGTGCCAGTTCTGAGCTGGCCGACTGGCAGGAGGCACCCCGGCTGTTCACCATTCCATTGCCTGCATCCCTTCAAACCAAACCACTGGGGTGGGGTATGCCAGGTATACTGGGAGATGGCTGTTGGTGGCATTGGTTATTGTTGAATTGGTTATTCACTTCCCTGCAGAAATATGAGGGGCACCTGAAAGCCCCCACCGGGGGTCTCAGAACATCTCTCTGCGGGGGAAGCAGGGCCAGCCGCGGCTGAGCACTGCCCGCCAGGATCCTGCCAGAGATGATGATGGTGACAATGAGGAGGAGGAAGAGCAAGATAAGGAAGTGAAGGAGGAAGAGGAGGAGAAGGAAGACAACAAGGAGGGCCAGGGTGACAAGGAGGCGGTGAAGGAGGTGGTCCACAATGAGACACGCAGGTGCAGCTTAGCTGAGCTTCTGCTCTGTGAGCTCTTCCTCCTGTCCTACTGTGACTCGGAAACAGTGTGAGGGTCCAGGGCAGATGACTCAGTGGGTCTACAGCACAGCAAAGCAATGCAGTCGATGGAGCCCTGCAAGGGGAACACACAGCTTACTGTGCTGGGAGAAGTCAGGGCTTAAACTCAGGGCTTACATGCAGGAGGTGCAGAAAAGCCTTGGGGATAAGGAGTGGAATGGAGAGTAGAAAGCCATCGAGAGATGCTCTGAGACCACCTGGCTCAAGTTTAAGTCTTTTGGGCGTTTGCTTCCCTACTGTGGGTTCCCTAAGCAACAGGACACAGCCCGCAGACCGAGAGTCTGCTAGATGAAAATTCAGGGGTGGCTGCTGTTAGATTCGCCGACCACCAGGGAAAGAACAACTCAGCTGAATATACAAAAGGAATTTAGGTGGCCTTTATTTCAGGGAACCACGGTCATGGGCTTCCCCTTCCTGTGCAGCAGACAGGCGTGAAGGAGTGGGCTGCAGAGGAAGAAGAGCACGGAAGAGATGGGAAGGGGCCTTTTAAAACTCTCCTTGACACGGAAACCCGAACCAGGGGTTGCCTCGGCCTTTGTTTGGTGGGGCAATATGGGTTTGTGCCCCTCATTGGTGCAATGGTGGTTTCACAGCCTGAGGGGCCCGCCAGAATTCTGCCATCTGTCTAGGATTGGTTGGAGACAAACTCCGCCCTTCTCCGGTTACCGTGGCGGCCATCAGCTGCGCTAAGACCTTTGACTGTAAGTCCCCCGTCTTGCACTCCTTTGCCTTCAGAGGAACCAGCCTGCTCCCACTCCTCCGACAGCGAGAAGGGATCCAAAGGAGAAAGGCCTCCAGTGTTCCTCAGAGCCAAGCAGCTCAGCAGTGATGAGGTGAGACCACATGCTGTTACCCCTGGGGATGACATGGTACCCAGGTGTGATGCTGTTGGCTGGGGCAGGCCATGGGAGTAGGGGGGGGGGCACATGGTAGCTGTTCGCACAGATGAGTGAACTTCTGAGGCCTGAATGCAGAATTAAGAGGCCCAGAGCAGGCTGGCCAAACCTGAAGGGGAAGGTATAGGGTCCCCGGACACCAAGGGTCCTTCCACAGAACCATCAGCCCTCCACTGTGGGGCCCCAACAGTGGCTGAAGAGGATTGCATCTCTGTGATGCTAAAACCTTTCTCCCTTTGGCTCCTTTGCTTTTTTCTCTATAAGACCACTGCTGTGGGCCCAGTGTGATGGCTCAGTGGTTAAATCCTTGCCTTGCCTTGCAAGAGCCAGAATCCCATATGGGCTTCAGTTCCTGTCCCCAGCTGCTCCACTTCCCATCCAGCTCCCTGCTTGTGGCCTGGGAAAGCAGTTGAGGACGGCTCAAAGCCTTGGAACCCTGCACCCATGTGGGAGACCTGGAAGAGGCTCCTGGATCCTGGCTTTGGATTTGCTCAGCTCCAGCTTTTATAGCCATTTGAGGAATGAATCAGCAGAAGGAAGATCTTCCTCTGTCTCTTCTCTCTGTAAATCTGACCTTCCAATAAAAATAATTAAATCTTAAAAAAAAAAAAAAGCACACAGCTGCAAAGAAATGTCTCCATTATAGAAGAAAATCATTGTTACTGCTCATATGACATCAATTTGTTCCATGTTCTTTTTCTTGATTCTTTTCACTTTACTTGAAAGGCAGACACAGAAAGAAAAGAGAAATATCTTCCACCTGCCAGTGTACTCCGCAATCCCCACAACAGCCATGGCTGGGCCAGGCTGACGCCCAAAGCCAATGATGCAATCTGAGACTCCCATGTGGGTAGCCGGGACCCATGTATCTGAACCATCATTAGCTGCCTCCAGGGATGTGCCGTTAACAGGAAGCTGAACAGGCCACAGCCAGGCACCCCGATCTCAGATGCAAGCATCCCACGCAGTATCTTCAAAGTTTGTGGTTAGCACCTTTGGGCTGCACACTGGAGTACTGGGAGTTTGACTCCCACCTCTCTTCCTGACTCCCAACTTCCTGGCAGTGGAGACCCTGGGAGGCAGTGGGAATGGCTCAGGTAACTGTGTTTCTATCACCCACATAGGAGACTTGGGATTGCTTCCTGTTTCTTGGCATTGGCCCTGACCCAACCCTATCCACCATGGCAATTTGGGGAGTGAACCAGTGGATAGAAGCTGCCTCTGTCTCGAAGAAAACTTCAGAAAAGACTTTATTTGAAAGAGAGAGAAAGAGAGACACAAAGAGCTCCCACCTATTGGGTTACCGCACAAATGGCCAAACCACAGCCATGAACCAGGAACTCCATCCGGGTATTCTCCACGGGGTGCAGGGCTCCAAGCACTTGGGCTGTCTTCTGTGCTTTCCCAGGCGCATTAACTGGGAGCCAACCTGGAAGCAGAGTAGCCAGGACTTGAACCTGCACTCCCACGGGATCTGCTGTCACAGGTGGCAGCTTAACCTGACGTGCCACCCTCAATGCAGGTTCTCAAGTACATTTTCTAAGAAATTAAAAAAACCCAACTTTACAGAAAATGTGTATTATGAAAAGCCCTTGACATTTTGTGCCCTAATCAACTACGTAAAGATTATCAAAATAAAATAATCTAAAAAAAGAAAAAGAAAATTGGAAAAACAAAGCTTCCCCAAGCTCTCTGAGGTCCCCTCTTATTTCAGTAGGACAGGATGTCAGTGTAAAACATACCGTGTCCCTCCAGTACTGGCCACTGGCCAGGGAAACCCGAGTTCCAGGAGCGTAGCTTCCCTGGAGGGTGCAGATGCAGGCTGGCCAGCAGGGGGCCGAACCCCAACGCCAAGCTCGTCTCGTGGCCAGCTTCACGCGTCCTGGAATGTTTACTGTTGAATTGCACATCTTCTCTCTCACTTCTAGGAGAACCTTCCAGAAGGTTGAAAGGGAGTGAAGAGGAAGATGAAGCATGAATATACCTTCATTACGTCCTCCTCAACAGCTCCTTTCGAAATAATGATCAGTATTTTCTTCATGTACTTGATGGCCATATGCATGTCTTCCTTTGACGAGTGCTTAGATCGACTCTCCATTTATGCCCTTTTTGTCCTATTCAGCCGAGTACTTTATATGTTCTGGTTATTAACCTTGTCAGATGCAGTTTATAAATTATTTTCTTCCATTTTGAACGTTGTCTCTTCAGCAGATTCTTCCACTGTACAGAAACTCTTTAGTTTGAAGCAAACTCATTTCTCTAGTTTTGCTTCTGCTCCCTGTGCGTTATTCCTCAGTGTCCGGAAGCTGCTCCCCAGGTTACCTCGAGTAGTTTCAAGGTTTCAGCTCTTCTATTTAGGTCTTCAGTCCATTCTGCATTGCTTTTTTGTACAGAGTAGGGGATAGAGGTCACTTAATTCTGCATGCAGATACTTAATGTCCCCAGTACCATCTACTTTAGACACTATCCTTTGTGTATTATTAGCACTTTTAATTAAAGAACTGTTGGCTGGAAATACATTAGCTTATTTCTAAGGATCTTTGTTTTGTTTCATTGGTTTGGTATTTTTTTTTTTAGTTTCTTTTTATTGTAAAGTCAGATGCACTGGGCCTGGCTTGTTTGTTTTTAATGTCAATTTCATTCTATTTTAATTATTATAGCTTTGAAATAGATTTTAAAGGCAACTGTGTAATGTCTCCTTTGTACTTTTTTTTTTTTTAACTAGATTGCTTTGGGTATTTATGGTCTTTTGTGGTTTCAAACAAATTTTACTAGTGGGCCTGGTGCAGCAGCCTAGTGGCTAAAGTCCTCACCTCATATGCCCCGGGATCCCATATAGGCACCGGTTTGTAGCCTAGCTGCTCCACTTCCCTTCCAACTCCCTGCTTATGGCATTGGGAAGGCAACGGAGGACAGCCCTAAGCTTTGGGAACCTGCACCCATGTGGGAGACCCAAAAGAAGCTCCTGGCTCCTGATTGGATTGGCTCAGCTCTGGCCATTGCAGCCACTTGGGGGAGTGAACCAGCAGACAGAAGATCTTTGTCTCTCCTTCTCTTTGTAAATCTGCCTTTCCACTAATTTTTATTGAAAAGATTCAGGTACAGAGAGAAGAGGGGACAGAAAGACCTTTGGTTTTCTAGTTCACTCCCCAAATGGCCACAGTGGCTGTAGCTAAGTCGATCTGAAGCTAGGAACCGGAAGCGATCTCCGATGTGAACTCAGGGGCCCAAGGACTTGAGCCATTCTCTGCTGTTTTCCCAGGCCACAAGTAGGGAGCTGGATGGGAAGTGGAGTCGTCAGGACATAAACTGCTTGCCGGTGGACAATGAGGCAATTCAGCCATTGCGCCAGCCCCCAGATGGCTTTTTAAGATGACATCTTGTCATTTGCAATAACGGGAATGGACCCGGAGGTCATTATGTTAGGTAAAATCAGCCAGGCACAAAGAGGTACGTACTGCTTGTTCTCACTCACGTGAAAGCTGATAGGAGATGATCTCATTGAAGCTTACACGTGCTGAAACACCATATGGTATCTCAGAAGTACATAGTTTTAATCAAATTTTTACGAGGAGTACAGAGCTCCAATTGTCTGCTTATTCATCCCCCAAATACAGTAGTCAAGGGTGGGCCAGGATGAAGCTGGAAGCCAGGACCTCAATGCAGTGTCCCCCGTGGGTGGCAGGGACCCAACTACCAGAGCCAACATCTGCTACCTCCCAGGGTCTGCGCTGGGAAGAAACTGGATTCAGAAGACACACAATGTGAGATACAACATGAGCTGTTAAATGCCAGCTTCAGGAAGTACAGCTTTTATGTCAGTTAAAAATAATTAAAAAAAAAAAGTTCAAAAGCTCATCTGTGGCTGGAGAAAATCCGGTTTCCTCAGATGCAAAGCTTCTCTGGCTGTTTTTCTTCAGGGCGGGTCTGAGGTTTTGGTCCATGTGGCTGGCCCACCCCACCCTCTTCCTGCTGGCCCACACCCAGAGGTCTCCTCAAGTTGAGCTGAGATGTGGCCTCTGGGGGCAGGGTGTTCCCCCTTGCCTGCTTCACTGGGCACGGGGCTCTTTTGTGCCCTGTAGCTGCCCTGACAGGGGTTCATTCCCTTCTCCTCCTGGCACCCTGACCGTGGAGCAGCAGCTGCTGCACAGCTGTACCCTTTGGCGCCCGAGTGCTTTCCCGAGTGATGAGTGAACCTTCCTACCTCTAGACTTCATAATCCCTCGAAGGACAAGTCCTGCTGCTTCTGTTTTCATTTCAAACACGTGGAAGCTGAGGTCCCCAAAGCCTAAGACTGTTTCACAGGTTAAAAAGACAGGTGTTTAGCCTACGAGTTAAGACGTGTCTTAACCTGAGCGTACTTCCGGGCTCCTGACCATACAGACCCTGGGAGCACAGGGATGGCCTGTCACTGGGCTCCCATCACCCTCAACGGAGACCCTGACTGCATTTCCAGCTCCTGCTCGAAGACTGGCCCCAAGTCCTGTGAGCATTTGGACAGCGAATCGGCAAGCAGGAGCTCTTGTCTTTTTCAGAAAACAAAACCAAAAACCTGGTTTGAAACAAGAGCTAGGCTCCTGCGTGCATAGCAGTAACAACGAATGTGCACATTAACGGCGTTTTGGGGACAGATACCCACAATATGAGTTATCGCCCTGATACACAGGTAGCATTAAGCTTAGGAAAAAGAGTGGGTGGAAATGAAACATATTCTCCCTCAAACGGGGAGGACACATTTCAAGTTAGTATCTTTTCAGAAAACAAATTTACATGATCAACAAAGGCTCAGTGGCTCTACTAAATAAACAGTTCAATAAATAAAAAGTAAAAATACCACAGTCTAACAGGACACAGGCAAGGACTACAAACAATAATCAAATGAAAAGATGTGCATTTTACTTCCATTTTTTCCATGAGCTTTTCCAGTACCCTCCTACTTACTGTGTTTTCCTAGGCATGCATACCTGAGGTTAACAGTAACAATATTCTGTAATACAAAATGTGTGTGCTTTTTTTCCTGTGTTAAGACACATAGTAGTACTTTCTGATTATGAACTATGCAGAGCATCATCATGGCTCAGAGCAGCTTTGTCACTGTCACAGAAGCTGCAGTGACTGCACTGAAAGAACAAACCAGTGGTGGATCTTTGGGCAAGTTAGCCTCCTCAGTCAGGGGGAGTTTAGAATTCAGGGTAAATCCTTCATAAGCTGATGCTTCCAGGTCTTTATCATTAAAAATTGAAGACCTGGGGCCAGTACTGTGGCATAGCATGGTAACCCCCCGCCTAGGGTGCCAGCATACCATATGGGTATCAGTTTGCATTCCAGCTGCTTCACTTTTTTTTTTTTAACTAAGAAAAAATTTTTTAAAGATTTATTTACTTTTATTGGAAAGTTAAATTTCCAGAGAGAAGGACAGACAGAAAGATCTTCCATCCACTGGTTGATTACCCAAACAACTGCAATGGCTGGAGATGAACCAATCTGAAGCCAGGAGCCTGGAGCTTCTGGGTTTCCCAAATGGGTGCAGGGTCCCAAGGCTTTGGGCCATCCTCGACTGTTCTCCCAGGCCACAGGCAGGGAGCTGGATGGGAAGTGGAGCAGCTGTGATAGGAACCAGCACCCACATGGGATTCTGGGGCTTGGAGGCGGAAGATTAGCCAATTGAGCCATCATGTTGAGTCCTCTTTGCTTCTGATCCAGGTAATGAGCCTAGGAGAGCAGCATAAGAAGGCTCAAGTCCTTGGGCCCCTACACCCATACGCGAGACCTGGAAGAGGCTCCTGGCTCTAGTCCAGTCCAGCTCTAGCCACTGCAGCCATTTGAGGAGTGAACTAGAAGATGGGAGATTCCTCTGTCTCTTATTTGTAATTCATCTTTCAAATAAAAAATAAATCATAAAATGGAGTTGAAGACTGAGTAACTGTGAAATATTTTGTTATATAAAAATGATTAAAGAAAAAGAGCCCATTTTTCTCCTCATATAGAAACCTCCAATTTACATCATTTTCCTTCTTTTTAGAATTTCATAGTAGTCATGGCATGCATGTGAACACTTTATTATTATTATTTTTTATAACTGGATTTGCTTTAAGATTTATTTATTTTTATTGGAAAATCAGATATAGAGAGAGGAGACAGAAAAATCTGTCCGATGATTCACTCCCCAAGTGACCGCAATGACCAGAGCTGAGCCAATCTGAAGCCAGAAGCCAGGAACTTCTTCCTGGTCTCCCATGCAAGTGCAGGGTCCCAAGGCTTTGGGCTGTCCTCCACTGCTTTCCCAGGCCACGAGCAGGAAGCTGGATGGGAGGCGGGGCTGCCGGGATTAGAACTGGTGCCCATATGGGATCCCGGGCATGCAAGGCAAGGACTTTAACCCCTACGCTATCGCTCTAGGCCAGAACACTTTATTATTAGCTGGCATTCTCCAAGGGAGAAGCTAGGAACACTAAGAGGAAGTAGTGCTATTTAAATGGAAGCACAGGGACTCCTTTTAAGGAGTTCTTGAATATTTGTGACCCTCTGTGTCCTTAACTCCTGCAGACCATTCAGAAAAGCTTAACATCTGAAGGGGAAAAAAATGATTAGTGATTTCGGATTGCCACATGGTCAGCTAACCCTGGTATCGGGTGTCCCCAGGCTGAGCATTCTGACCGGATCACCCTGGAAGACTCAGAGCCAGGGCTCCCCAGAGCCACAGATCCTGGCTTCAAGGCCTCTGGCATTTGGGGAGGCCTTCCTGATGGGATGAAGGGCAAGAAGGCTTCCCCCAGGGTCCTTGGAAGGCCACACAACACGGTTGATCCAGGCAAAGTCAAGTCTCTAAAACACAAAAATAATGAAAATCTGAAAATTGACATAAATGTCCTAACAGATTCCTCAATCCACATCTTTCACCAACTTTTGATCAACGGCTACTAAGAGATAGTTTGGCTGTACTGTATACACCCCTTTTTTTTAAAGCAGGTTTGGCTTCTATCAGATCCAGACTCTGCTGTTCCATATTTGCCAACTCAGTTTTATGGACAAGACTGAGTACTGATGATATGAGATGAAACCATATAGAGTTATTCATTTCACAGGCAAAATTGGTCTCAGTTACTGACAATTTTATATGGTCAACCACACAGGTACTGGTTAAGGTGGATTATTCTAGATCAAGTGGCTTGAATAACAAGTTTGTTCTCACACTTCTGGGGCAGGAAGGTCAGCCATCGAGGCTGGTCCTTGAGGAGGGCTCCCTTCCCAGTTGGCAGCCTGTAACCCCACATGCCAGCGAGAAGGTCCACCCCACCACGGGGCCTTTACCAACGCCACTACACCCTCCAAAGGTCTTCAATACCGGAGTGTCTGGGACACAAACATTTAGTTGATGACACACAGGGCAGAACAACACAGAGAAGTGAAGAAGCTTGTTCCTCAGGAGGGGTAATAAGCAATGATCTTTAGAACACAGGAACTAAAGGGATTATGTGCTTCTTACAAAAAGTATACAAGTCTACAGAATAGCTGTTTAACTTTATTAAAATGATTCCATTATATGGTGCTTAAGGTCTACATGATCTTCAAAGGAATAGTCAGTGCTGTTAGGTTCAGTGTTACTTATACAACAATATTATAAAGTTCACTGCTTCCATTCCTGTAAAATTTGGAAAATAATGCATTTATAGCAGGTTGGATATTTTAGCATGGAAAAATATGTTTAAGCATCTAGTTGCATATAATAAAGTCATGTACAGTTACATAGGTAATATTCAGTCTTTAAAATACAACCAAAACCAAATATAATTCACTCAAAGACTAGAAAAAAAAAAGTGGGCATTTACTTAAAATTAAACAGGGGTCAGCATCATTGTGGTGCGATGGGAAGTGGTAAGCCACTTCCTATGATGTTGGCATCACATATGGGCATCAGCTAGAGTCCTGGCTGCTCCACCTCTAGTCCAGTTCTCTGCTAATGTGTCTATGAAAACAATAGAGGATGGCCCAAATGCTTGGGATCCTGACACCACGTGGGAGACCAGGCTTCTGGCGTTGGCCTTTCCAGCAGCCCTGGCCATTGCAGCCCTTTTGGGAGAGAACCAACAGATGAAAATTTCTGTCTCTCTTTTTTTTTAACCCTGACTTTCAAAAAGTTACTGTTTAAAACAATTAATTACAAACATTTTATGCCATATATTTAAAATAATTCTTAAGTAGAAGAATCTAGATATTCAAATTTGAATTATTTTTTGAGTGAAGGTAAAATTTAAACTTGTATAATTGCTTTTATCAATTAAAACTCACTGATAGTCTGAAGAAATAAGTGAAGTCACATATATGCAGACTGTCAGGGTCTCTGATGATCTCACATGACGTTGTAACAGTTAACAAAACATGGCTGGTGGTGTTGCTCAGTGATACAACTTATTAAAAATTTTACAAATTTGGGGCCTGGTGCAATGACTCAATTGGCTAATCCTCTCCTTGCAAGCACCTAATGCCATATGGGCGCTGGTTCATGTCCTGGCTGCTCTACTTCCCATCCAGCTCCCTGTTTCTGACCTGGGAAAGCAGAAGAGGACGGCCCAAAGCCTTGGGGCCCTGCATTTGTGTTAGAGACCTGGAAGAAGCTCCTGCCTGCTGGTTTTGGATTGGTTCAGCTCTAGCCAATGTGGCTATTTGGGGAGTGAACCAGCAAACAAAAGATCTTTCTCTCTGTATCTCTTCTCTGCAAATCTGCCTTTCCTATAAGAATAAGTAGATCTTGTTATTATTTTTCAATGTTACTGGAAAGGTAAAGAGAGAGGACAGAGTTTTCATCTGCTAGTTCACTCCCCAAATGTGTGCAATAGCCGCATCTGGGCCAGGCAAAGCCAGAACCAGAATCAGAACCTAGGTCTCCCACGTGGGTGGCAGGGTCCCAACCATTTGAGCTATCAACAGCTGCTGCCAGGGTCAGCACTGGCAGAAAGCCGGCCCCGGGTATGAAGGCAGGGTTCAGTTCCACCCACTGTAATAGGTGATGTGGGCATGCAAAGTGACATCTTAACTGGCAAGTCAAATGCCTGCCTGTTATAATCTATTTTTATCTAGCCTCTCATCTCATATCAAATGAGTTGTCCAAAATATTCAATAAGGGGTTACAAGTAAGAATTTTTTTTTAAACCAAAGGTAATCCCTAAACTCTTTTGAATAATCAGAAAGCAAATGGAGCTTAAAATTAGCAGATGCTGTTTTATTATAAATTCCCAATTTGTCTAATTTGCTTAGAAAATAATTTATGAAACAGAATTATAATGGAAGAAAATCAATATGGAATAAGAATGAACAAATTAAGATATGACAATACACAATCTTTGCCCTTAAATATCATTACCTTAATTAAAAAAAAATTAGTGAAGACCTTCTTTGATTACTTTGGCAAGCAAGTCAGGGTGGGAGATATCAGGAAACGTTGATGATCCATGAGAACTGGTGGAGACAGCTGCAGACATGTTTAAATCCCAGAGTTCACTCCCCGTGTGACAGCAGCAACGACAGCTGGTGGCAACACACTGCGTGCTCTGTTCTCTCAGGTGTCATGTCCTCGGTGAGTCCTGCTCAGGAGCGGATGAGCATGGCCGTGAAGGCGCACAGCTGCTCAGCGCTGACCTTGTTGGGGAGCAAGCTCGGGCCGCAGGCTGCTAGGATGTAACAACACTTCCTGCTTTTTACAGGCAGCACAGAGCCAGGAACATGCAATGTGAAGGAATTCAAAGAATTCCTTCATTTTATCTTAATGTCACCAACAGTTAAATATAGTGTACCATGGGATACAAATAGTATTTTATTAAAATATTTTCTTTTATAATCTTTATCATGAAATTCCCCTTTTAAATGAAAACACATCAGATCATTGGCCAACTGGAAAACAATTTATGAAGTTCTATTTACACATCACCTTTCCAGAGTGTGCCTCCTACACAAAGCAACCTCATGGATTTCATTTATATAACAAAGACTTCACAATGTAACAAACAAGATAATTCTTAAAATCACTTACAATCTGCTGGTTTATTTAACACAAAATGTTTATTTGGTCTTTTAAACAGGCACCCTTACAAAATGCTTTTTACTTGTTCTTTAGTCAAGTATATAGCACCAAAATCTACTTAGTAACATATTAGCCACTAATATTGAAATTCTAATACATAAAAACTTCATGTAAACACCCTGGAAAAATTAGAATTCCAAATATGAATATAAAATTTTATAATGGTAGTTAAGCTTTTTTTTTTTTTAAAAATAGCATTTTTAAAAAGCAAACACTTTTTAGATAACCAGATAAATTTAAATTGGTTAGGTTATAAAACTTAAAATTCACAAAATCTTTGGCTTCAAAATCCAGACTATTCCAAAATCCTAAAAAAAGTTTATTGTACTATAAAATGATAGAACAATTTAGAAATACTGAAGATTTAATTAAAAGGATAGAGGTGCCAAATTTTTAAAGATCAAAGTAAACATCCTTTTTCTATTGTAATTCTTGATTTTTTGTATTCAGTTAGACCAATGTTCATATGTAAAGTTACTTACGAAGAAAACATTTTCTTCAATTATATAACAAGCTATACTCTAGCACAGAATTGGAATGATACAAGCAAAAAAAAAAAAAGGCAACTTCTTCATCCTTTTGATAAATAAGTAAAAAAGGTATTGCCCATGGTATGATACAAAATTCTAGGTAGAGTTCCACTTATAACACTACTACTTTAAAAATCACGGGAGAAATGGGGGACCCGCTGAGCAACTCAATGTGTTGCAGGACAATCAAATAAGGAAGCTTGGCTGAACGTATAAGTGACTAATTCTTTTTAGAAGACTTAGCTACCTGCTCCATGCCTAACTCCTAGACTTCTGGAAACTCTAGTTTCTATAAAATCAAGTACAACTTAAAAGTTGTATATGAAAAGAAAAAGGAGGAACGGGAGAGAAGGTGAGAGAGGGAGGGTGACAGGAAGAAAGGAAATAAACCAGCAGCCTTGAACGACCTGGCCCTTTGTAAATCACTGGATGTTGATTTAAAAATGAACCTTACAACCCCACAATGCTTACGACACAAGTGTTGCCCAGTTGGCAACATGCAAGAAGCTGCCCATCTCATTCTCCGGCCCAGGCTGAAGTAGCGGATACTTCTGTGATTTAACTTCATAAATCTTACAATCACATATGAAAATAACTCCCCCTACCTGCCCCCTATTAAGATTCTTCCTTCCCTAGCCGTTAATCCCTCTGCCATCTCTTGATCCGTGGCTGCCCCTAGACAAGGCGTGACTACAAGGCCCTGTCCCATCCGGAGCTAGCCCACTGTGGGATGTGTCTCATTGTTCATTTTAATAATTTGAACACTCTGGTTATGGGAATGACTTTTACACAATCTGGACAAATACAAAAGGAAATACATACCAGAAGTCAGACTTAAGAAGAACACCAATTTTTCTTATTTGTTGGACATTTGTAGTGGGGATTAAACACTGCCCCTGGAGTACTGGACTGCGTAGGAGGCCCTCTGTCTCCACTGACACCACGCACTGATGACACGCCAGTTACTAACACACTCAGTGACCACCAATGCAATGACACTCTCACAAGTTCTTCAGACTTCACTGTATTTGTTATCATTGACTTCATGTCTTTAACAGCAGCTTCTTTTTCTCCTACCCTAAATAAGAGTTGGCCATATGCCTTTTTATGGAAAAGAAAATGGCTTTTCTGTTCAGATGCTTTTGACTATCAGCTTCCACAAACACGTGATAATGCCCACAGTGTAACATGAAAACCTGTGATGAACTTACGGCAACTGCCCTCTGAAGCGAAGTCCATAGCTGGCCCAGCTGGCGACCTTCCGGCAGAGCGGCTGTCGCAGGACCCTGGGGCGCAGCGGGGCCCCTGCTCTCTCCCTGCACGGCCCCTGCTCCTACTCAGCTGACCAGTCTTAATAATCCTGGCATTTTAGTCTCATGAGAAAAGGAAAAGCAGACCATGACCAAAACCACATATTTTAAAAAACGAAAAACCTTCAGGCTATGGAATAAAGGGAGCTTCAGGCCCAAAGCCACTCACAGCGAGTCTGACATCAGCAACATCCCTTTGCCTTTGAAAAGAAGATTGGTCCTCAAAATGTTATTGTACATAAATGGTTTCAGAATCACTTTTACAATTACTTTTATGCCTAAGACTTGCTATATAAATCACTAAAGCTAAGTTTAAATGGACTTTAACAGAAAATGGAAATGTTTTAAAATATGAAATACCACCTACCAACTTATTCACTTTACAATCTGAAACTGATAACAACTTAAACTATGAAAAAAGATTAATTAAAAATATGTATTTCCAGTCTTTTCCCTTGTATCCAGGAAAATTCTACTTCCAATGTCCCCAAAACGAGCGGCTGTTGGTCTGTGGAAATCTTCGGAGGTCACACTGCGGGGGACTCAGTGCTGGTCTCCCTCAACGCGTCTCTTGCGCACTACAGGAAAACACAGACGTACACAAATAAATAAACAAATACATGAATACTTTAAAAATTGTTATGAACTGGAATCAGCTTTTATGTTAACTTGTTGACAGCAAATTTTGATATATGCTCCAGTTAGTCTTACAAAGATATAAAGTTCATTTCCAATTCATGTGAGCATTAGTAAAGAAACCAATTTCCTGCGGGCGATGCAGTGACATAACGATGTCATGATGCCCTGCCTGCAGCACCAGCACCCAAGAGGGCAACGGTTCATGCCCAGCTGTTCCGCTTCTGATCCATTTCTCTGCTACGGACTGGGAAAGCTGTGGAGGATAGCTAGGTCAAGTCCGATTCAGGACAGAACAACACAGTGTAATGAAACTCTCGAAACCTTCTAATGTGGTGAGGTCACTTTTGGCTACCAAAGCAGCCAGCCACCTAACTGGGCTGATGCAGTAAAGGAAGGTACATGTGCCTAGGACACCCGGCCTCTTCATAGAACAGGAATGCCAAACTCGACTATGCTGGCTCCAGGAAAGGAAAGCCTTCAGCTCCAGTGCCTTGATGCTTGCACTCTCGTGGCCAGCCACCAGAGGGCAGCTGCTCGCAGCCTTCAATTCAGGGATCAGTGGTGTGGTCAATCTTACCCAGCAAGGACAGAAGCACAGCTTCCAGAGTCAGTGACAGATTGGATGGAATCTGGTTCTCTCATTTTTTGTAGTCTGTTCGTCACGTTAGTTAACCTGTCTGAGCCTCAACTCATCCTCCGTAACAGAATAATACTTGTGACTTGTAACAGCACTGGGCGCTGGCTCATGTAGTAGTGAAATGGGAATAGATGAGCTAATTGATGAGATCAGTCATTCAGCTGATGTGGTCCAGCCACTTGTTTGTACAAACACTTTTTCAGCCTTCACTCTGATTATAGTTTCATGTGTTTACTGAAATATTAAGGGACCAAAAAAAAAAATCAAAGGGACATCTGAGTGCCTAAGTACAAATTTAACTCATGCATACTGAGCTCTGAGAAATGTGTGAAAAGGCAAACACCAGAAACCTCTTAAGGTGGAACATTTCCGAGGAAGTCTTGAATCAGCAAGGTTCCGGTGTTACTGGCAGGCCATTTCAGATGTTAACATGCATGTTATAAAGAACACACACCATACACAAGCACTATAGCACAGTGCAGCAAACACAAGGTAGAGAGGATGGATTATGTAGTTAGCTGGTGTAGAGACAGTTATATGAGACCCAACGTCCAACTGAATATTACTTGTATATCACAGACTCTGCTGTTACTGCTGACATTTCTTGAGAGAGCAGGTAGAATTATCTCAATGAATAGCCAAGACTAGGAAAAGAATGAGGGAAAGATATCAAATCAGAACACCAAAGACGTAAAACAGCTCCATCAGCGAGCGGAAAGAAACGTCACGTGCCCGAGAGCTTCTGTAGCATTTTCCTCACTGTGTCACTCTCTTGAGTTACTGCACTTCAGGCTGCTGAACCGACATGTCGGGAAGCCCAGCCTTCTGGCTTTCTACCTTCATCTACGGGTGGAAGTCAGTGAGTGGAAAAAGAATCAGGCTGGGACGGGATCAGTGGGAGGCTGCACAGGAACAGACAGCAAGGGACGGCTACACCAAGAGTAGTTCTAACTGCTCCATCTCACCTGCTGGCCACACTCCATCTTCCAGCAGGTCCCACTTCAGGCCATCCTCTACCTGACAGCTTTGTACATTTGCCCATATAAGCAGTTCTTTGGGTCTTGTCAAAATTCTTTCCAAAATCCATTCCACTGTTGTCAGGCCTCAAAACATCTTAAATTAATTAATTGCTAAGAAATCCTATTTCTATTTGTAAAAAGTTATAAAAGTTTATCACCTTACATGATGTATTCTGTTGCTTTCAATGGCACTCAAATATCTCTAGCATAAAATCCAGAGAAATCTACTTGCAAGATATACTGATAACAGACTCAGCACCCGAATGTCTGCTTCAGAAGGCAGTCTTTCGCTACACTTCAACTGCCTGCAACAGAAATGGCTGTAGCACTTGCTTCTTTCTTTGTTTTGTTTGAAGATTTACTTACTTATTTATTTAAAATTCAGAGTTACAGAGAAAGGGGGGAGAGACAGAGAGGTCTTCTGTCTGTTGGCTTACTCTCCAGAGGGCTGCAAGGGTCAAGGGGGGGGAAGCCAGGAGCCAATTTCATCTGGGTCTCCAAGCAGCCATTACGAGGGAGCTGGATTAGAGGCGGAGCAATTGGGATTTAAACTGGAGCTTAAATGGGATGCAAGCAAAATGGAGGCAGCTTTCTGCAGTGTGCCACAATGAAAGTCCCATGCCACTTGTTAAAAACCCCATGTCAGGATGGACATTTAGCCAGTGCCTGGGATGACCACACTGCATGCTGGAGTAGCTGGTTCAACTGCCGCTGTGGTTCTTGACTCTTGTGTGCACCAACACAGACTGCGGGAGCTCAAGTAATCAGGTTCCTGCCACCCCTGGGGGAGACCTGGACCACTTCCTTCTGTTCCTTAGGTTCAGGTCTAACCCAGTCCTGGCCATGTGGGCATCTAGGAGTGTATTATCAGATGAAAACTACCTTTCAAATAAACAAATTTTAAAAAGTCCTATTCTAACTAAACCAGAATTTCTAAAAGAAAAATCAATATTACTCTATGTGTTGTTGAAACTCCAATTATTTATGAAGTTCAGACATACGTAAGAAACACTACTCTGGGCCCAGCATGATGGCTCAGTGACTAACTCCTTGCCTTGAATGGGTCAGAATCCCGTATGGGCACTGGTTCATGTCCTGGCTGCTCCATTTCCCACCCAGCTCCCTGCTCGAGGCCAAGGAAAGCAGAGAAGGATGACCCAAAACCCTGGGGCCCTGCACCTGTGTGGGATACCTGGAAGAAGCTCCAGCTTATGGACTGGCTCAGCTCCAGCTGTTATGGCTATTTGGAGAGTGGACCAGTAGACAGAAGATCTTTCTGTCTCTCCTCTCTGTAAATCTGCCTTTGCAATAAAAATAAGTAAATCTTAAAAAACATGTTGGAAAAACGGGTAAGCACCATATTCTTTAATTCAACCTCGGCTGGAATGTTTTCTTCAAACAGAAGTCACAAGCTGAGCTGTTCCACGAGGACAGAAGAGCAGATGCCTGACCTGGGTGTGTGTGAGCAGGGGAGGAAGGGCTATCTTCTCTGTTAGGGAAACCAGCAAGGAGAACAACACTTTCTATGCAAGGACCACGCAATTCTGATCAAAATTACACACTACATATAACTTCTATCCAAATATTAAACTGTAATTATCTTATAATACTGAATTTTTATCTAGGTGATAAAAATTTCTCCTTTCTGATGGAAAAGGCAAAAAACTTTCCTGAAATTTTTGCTTTTAATAGCTTGACTTTTAACTAAGAATGATATTTGCTTGTAGAAAACTTCACTAAAAGCTATGAAATGTGTCTGCCACAGGAAGTTCATCATTACACCGATGACCACAATCAACTTTAATTGAACCAGTACAAAAAGGGAAGTGTGGCTTATGGAAACAAAAGTAACTAATTTCTGTCCAAACTGACCTTGAGGGACTGGCCCTGTGGCCTCCTGAAACAGTCGCCACCTGCAATGTTGGCATCCCACCCGAGTATACCAGGTCAAGTTCCTTCTGATCTTTCTACTTCTAATCTGGCTCCCTGCTGACCGGCCTGGGAGAGCAGTGGAATCTGGCTCCCTGCTGACCGGCCTGGGAGAGCAGTGGAATCTGGCTCCCTGCTAACGGGCCTGGGAGAGCAGTGGAAAAAGGGCCTGGGAGAGCAGTGGAAAAAGGTCCAAGTGCTTGGGTCACTGCAGTGACATGCGTGATTAGAAGAAGCTCTGGCTTAGGACAAGCCTGCTTATAGCCACTGCAGCAACATGGGGAATGGGCCAGCAGATGGAAGATTTCTCTCTCTCTCTCTTTGTAACTTTGGGTTTCAGATAAACAAATAAGCAAATAAACAAATAAAATTACTTTGAAGGTAAAAATGATTCTCTCAGCAGGTTAGTATGATGTAATCCACATCCTCCATCTGATACTGTATTTATCCCTTACCTAAGTCATTGTTTTTTGTTATAGCATTAGCTGCTCTGGTTCGGGGTCCCTGCTGTGTAAACCGATACCCAAATTTAAGAATATTTGTATTTTCTTCTAGCATTTTGGCCATTTCCAGTTCCACGGCCGTCCCCAACTGCTGCCTCTGAAATAATTAGAAATAAAACACAGTATTAATGAAATGGATCAAAAGATTTAAAAGGTAAATAAAAATTAAGACATTCACACATGTTGATGATGCTTATCTCTTTAAAATTTTCCTAATTTCAACAATATATATATATAAGAAAAAAATTTTAGTAGTATCATATAACACCAAAATGTCTCATTTCATACCTACCCATTGGAAAACAATGAAAAAACTGGATAATGTAAATGTTGGTAAGAATATGGAAAAATCAAAACTGTTAAATGTAAAATGGTGCAGTTGTTATACAAAAACAGTCGCTTAGAAATAGCTCAAAAAGTTAAACTCCGAGTTATAGTATGATCCTACAGTGCCACTCACAGACATACACCCAGAAGAACTGGAAATACATGCGCATCAAATATCCACAGGAACATTATTTCAGATAGCCAAAAAGTGGAAAAATCCCATCTGCAATACAATATCATGCAGTCATAGGAAACAATGAAGGCCTTACACATGCCACAACATCAACAAGCCTATAGAGCATTATCCTGGGGGACAGAATCTAAAGAAAGACCACACACTACATGACCTCAGTTCACATGAACTGCCTTGCACAGGCAAATCCACGGGCAGAAAACACATGAGCAGCTGCCAGGGCTGCTGGAAGAGGGAACGTGCCTGAGCTGGGCCTCCCAGGTGCTCAGATGGAGCAGGGCACAGCACATCCAAATGCACATGGAGGACATGACAGGACATTGGAGCCAGCAGGGGACGTCTGGTACCACGGCAGAGGACGGAGGACCAAACAAAGGGATCAACTACTCCAACCAAGTGAATATCTGGGCAGGAGACTCTAAGGTGGAACAGCAGCCAGTGGATTCTGGAGAGATTTCATCGCAATTAGAGTGGCAGGATAAACAATAATTCAGGACTGCTGAACCATCAAAGCCTCTTGAGAACTTCATGGTGTCATAAATTTCTATTTTCCTTCCTGTTAGTGTTTATTCCTGACTTTGAGCTTTTCAGTTAAGGGGATGTACAGTAACTGTGTAATGCAGACTATGCTATCCAGATGTGAGGTTACAAAGCGGTAGTCATTTCTACTTTCAGATCAAAGATGGACTCCCACTGAAACTGTTTACTATATCTTGACAATAGGATGCTGGACTCTGTCATTGCCCATGCCCACAATGATGGACACAGGACTGTGTACGAAGAACAATACTATAGTAATAATATAGGGGAGCTCAGTGGGGGAGGAGGGGACTTGCGGAGTGGGTAAGGGAAATCCCAAGGCCTAGAGAACTGTATCATAAAGTGATAATAATAATAAAAATAAATAAAAATAAAAAAGAGTGAACATGACTGCACGTGGGGATGAGTTGTCCCTGGGAAATAATGAAAGCATTCTGCAATTCGTGGTGAAATATGCAAATCTCTGAATTTATGAAAAACCATGTAATCATGTAAGTTAAGAGTGAATTTAAGGTATGGGGACTTCAACCAAAAACATGCAAATGTGATTTAAAAGCACTCTGCTTAAATTCAACATACTCCAATTTTCTATATTCATAGTCTACAAAATCTATTTACTTTGAAGAATCTACTTTTAAAAATAAATTTAAATAAACTTTTTTCAGATAACTCTGGAGTTATTTTCCTTTAGAAAAATAAATTGATTTATTGGGCCCGACGCCGTGGCTTAGTGGCTAGTCATCATCTTGAACGTGCACTGGGATCCCATACGGGCACCAGTTCTAATCCCGGCAGCCCCACTTCCCATCCAGCTCCCTGCTTGTGGCCTGGGAAAACAGTCAAGTTGGGACCCTGCACCCGTGTGGGAGACCTGGAAGAGGCTCTGGGCTCCTGGTTTTGGATTGGTGTAGCTGCAACCATTGTGGCCGCTTGCGGAGTAAATCATTGGATGAAAGATATTTCTATTTATCCTCCTCTATGTATATATCTGACTTTGTAATAAAAATAAATAAATCTTTAAAAAAAAAAAAAAAGAAAAGGGGCCCGGCGGCGTGGCCTAGCAACTAAAGTCCTTGCCTTGAACGCCCCGGGATCCCATATGGGCGCCGGTTCTAATCCCGGCCGCTCCACTTCCCATTGAGCTCCCTGCTCGTGGCCTGGGAAAGCAGTTGAGGATGGCCCAAAGCCTTGGAACCCTGCACCCGTGTGGGATACCCGGAAGAGGTTCCTGGATCCTGGCTTCGGATCGGCTCAGCACCAGCCAGTGCAGTCACTTGGGGAGTGAATCATCGGACGGAACGTCTTCCTATCTGTCTCTCCTCCTCTCTGTATATCTGACTTTCCAATAAAATAAATAAATCTTAAAAAAAAGAAAAGAAAAGAAAAGAAAAGAAAAGAAAAATGTCTCCAGTCCTATATGGATCTAATCCTGGCAGATTAGATTGGGATCCTGGCGTGTTCGAGGTGAGGACTTTAGCCGCTAGGCCATGATGCTGGGCCCATTGAGTCATTTTTCAAAGAAAAGTATCCATAGCTGGTGAGGTGTGAGTGACCCATTTTAGTTATGGCATTAGCACTGTTAATGGCTGGATGAAAATGGCGCCCTTACGGTGAGTCAGAGAGGTTCCTGCTGCCACAGAGCCAAAGAATTAGAGAACCAAGGAAGTCACATGTAAGGAGCCTTCCAATTCAAAATCACCAGTTAACTAAACTCTGTAAAAAAGACTCAGAATTGCTTTATATTTATCTTTATGTACACTAACAGCATGCATGCTCCAAATGCGCTCTAGTCTCCTGCAGGCCCCCCCCCCCCCCCCAGGGCTCCCGGCCGAGGACCCAGGACACTGCAGTGTAGGCAGCAGCCTGACACCGAGTTACTGCTGCACAGCACTGACCTGATTGTCAATCTTGAGCTCTGACAGCGTTTCATTATCTCTTAAAGCATCAATTAATGCCAGAACGCCAGTTCCTGTAATAAAGTTGGACTCCATATTTAAGCTCTTCAAAGTTTTGTTCACTGTCAGCATATCTGCAAAAGCCTAGAAATCACAGGAAATATTTACAGATTAAACTTTTGGTAGCACCTATCATACACCACGCAACCACAGACAAGGGCAGCCAACCAACGTGACTTCATGTGATCTTTCATGTCACAGCGTCACGAATCACCTCCTAGGTGGTTTTACATGTCTACACGTAACTAAGTGTGAAATAACTAAGGAATGGCATGAGTTCGGCCTGCTTCCATTATGTTTCTCCCAGGATATGGTACAGCGCGAGACATCTGGTGCAGTTCTTGATGAACATTATACTGATTAATTAACAGACAGGAACAACTGAGAAGGGAGAGCGAAACAGAGGTAGAGAGAGAGAGAGAGAGAGGAGGGGGGAAAGAAGGCAAGATTATGAGTTTGAGTTTGTAAAAACCAGTCCTTTAGTGGGATCAGAAGCAAGGTTAAACTACCGAAAATAAAAGGTAAGATCAAGCTTAAAGCTAACTTAAAGACAAGGGGGACACACAGGTATCTACACACATGTATCTTCGTTAAAAGAAAATTTGATTTATTTACTTGGGTTGAAAGGCAGGGTTAACAGAGTGAGAGGGAGAGATGAGACAGACGAGAGAGAGATGAATCTTTTCTCCTCTGGCTCAATCCCAAAATGACCGCAATGGCCAGTGACAGGCTAGGCCTAAGCCCCGAGTCAGACTTCTATGTGAGTCTCCCAGGTGGATGACTGGAAAGCAAGGACACGCTCATCCCGGCTGCCCCCAGGGGTGCACTATCACAAAGCTGCATCAGAAGCAGGGCTGATCTAAGGCACTCTAACACGGGCGGCGGGGCTGCTAAACAGCAGCACATCCCATGTCACCCAGCCCTGCACCCCTGCACTCCCCACCAGCAGGAACTAGCTGCGTGGCCTGGAACAGACCTCTTACTTTCCTGCATATGTTCATTTAAATATCACCAACAACCTACCATTCAATCAGCAGTGTTCTAAAGATTCAGATCTTTACTGGATGAAACTTAATACTCCAGTGGAGGGCCACAAACAGCAAGCAAGCATGCAAAATATAAGACAGTCCCCAAAATCGAAATGCAAATTAAGGCAGAGGGGGAGAAGGGTGGGCAAGGGCAAATGGCCTTTTCACACGGGGGTCACGAAAGGTCTTCCTCAGAAAAGACTCCAATGCAGTGATGAAGTGAACCCACAGCGTTTGTCTTCTAGACAGAGGAAACCAGGTAAAGGCCTCGTGGAGCCATCTGAGACAGTGGTGTGGCTGCGAGCATAATGAAACGGCTAGTAAAGAAAATGAGCAGAGAAAATAAGGTCTTCTAAGGTGATCTGAAGATCTTCATTTTGACTCTCGGTGAGATGAGAAGGTGCTGGAAGATCCTCAGGGTGAGATGATTTATCAGCCTAAATTTCAAAATAGTTACTGTTGGTGCTATGTGAAGAATTTGCTTTCAAACATGTATGACAAAAGACAGCTCATTAGGAGGCGGTAAGGTCAGATAGTGGTTCAGAGCAGGATGGCAGATGTGAAAATGGTGAGAAGTGGTTGGAGTTACAAATATCTTAAAGATTTTGTTATTTGTGAGAAAGGAAAAGTCAGAGATGATTTCTTGAAAAATGTTTAATTTTAATTACTTTGCAAGGCAAAAAGGTAAAGACAGAGGTAGGGCGACAACTCGCATTCACTGACTGACTTCTATAACTCTAATGGCCAAGACTGGCTGACGCCAGAAACTCGGTGTGGATGGCAGTCAGTCACTCGGGCCATCACACACTGCCTCCCAGGATGTGCTTCAGGACGCAGCTGAGGCCAGGAGCCAGAGCAGAGCACAAAGTTCAGGTAAATGCAACTAAATGGGTTGTAGACACCTTGACTGCCTGACCAGTGAAAGACTGGTGCTGCCATCTACTGACATCGAAAAGACTGCGAGAGAAGCAGGAATGGAAACAAAGTCAGGAGTTTGGCATAGGACCCTGACGTAAGAGGTCTAATGGTGCCCAAGTAAAGCCGTTGAGAGCTTGATATGACCGAGCTCAACAGGGAGCTAGCACTTAGAGACAGTGACCCCAGTCATTGTACATAATACATGAATGTATCGATGGAAGTGAATGAGGTCATCCTGGAAGTGAGAGCACACAGGACAGAGTCAAGGCCATTTCAGTGAAGCAGAAACAGCACAGGGGCCCGAGACATCCAACGAGGTAAGAGGACAGCCACAGGAAACTCAGCCAACTGAAGGAAAACATTTACATGATGATCAAGTGGAATTTATCCTAGGAATGGGAGAGTGCTTCAATACACAGAAATTATACTAACAGAATGAGGGGGGAAAAATCCACACGACCATTTCAACAGATGCTGAAGAGTACCTGACAAAAATCTAATACGACAGAGACATAAACTGAATCCTCTGCAGATGTGACAAGATCATAGATCTTCATGTACTGACATGAACAATCTGTAAGACACACCACTGAGGAGAAAACCAAGCTGCAGAACAGTATGCACAGGGCACGATTATATGTGGTTTTGAAAACTCGCAGTCATCCTAATTTTAAAACTTCACAAGAAGGAAATAGAGGAAAAAATAAACATAAAGAGGCAGTAAATGCTACAGAGTCTAAGAGAAGCTTAAACACCCACCAGAAAAGGGGAGTGAACGTTGCTCAAGACAAAAACCTCACAGCACAACCACTGCCCTAACCTGCCCACCCTGACCGGCTGGCGTAATCTCAGTACTGTCACAGCGGCTTACTTACAACAGCAACGGGGTCATTGCTCCGAGTGGCTGCGAGACTGAAATTCTGCACATGGGTGTTGGTTTCCAAAGCCTTCGCAAAATCTTTTAGGGTTGGAATTGGGATGTTCTGGAAAGAAAAATGAAGCATAATTACATTTCTGTTTTTTGGAAATTCAGCACATTAACTCGATATATCTGTACTTACAACAAAAAATAAGCCCACACCCCACAGCTTCCTCCATGCCTCCTTGACTTTTCTGGCACATTTGCACATTTTGGCACATAACACAAATAACCATTTCTGTAGCACTCCATACTCTATTTTTGATTATCTTTGTTATGTGAAACCAACCAGTTCATTACAAGAGGAATACACTTCTTCTACACAGACACGGGAGTTCCCCTCTCCTGATACAACTCTGGCAGTTGACACAGTGTTCCCACTTGCTTAGCAAGCTACGAAGTATTGAGAGAGAACTTGAGTTATAGCAGGCATCAATTTCTCCCTTTAGTTCTGAAGACTTCAATCCCCACAGGCTGGTTCTTTTCAGACCATTATTGTCTATTTACTGACAAAGACATAAGGGGATTAGATTAAAATAAGGCCAGTGGTCAGCTAAGGCTATCAGCACATCAGCCTTCTCCCCTCCGCTCACAGAGACAGGCACAGAGGGCTTCTTCCCCAGGTTCACTGAATTTCCAGAATCTTCAAACCCCAATTCAGATAAGTGAAGACATAAAATGATGAGTGGCTAATAAGAGATAGGGAGTTAACCCTTTGCTAACTTATTACTCCCACGACCTTCTAACTCCAAGGAAGATTTATATTGCTTAAAACTTAGTAAAATCCCAGAAAGTCCACTTTTTGATATTGAATAAAGAGAAATGAAAGCAAGTGCACATACAACAACCTGGTAGGGAATGTGTTCAGTGACTTCATTCATGATCAACCCAAGCTGGAAAACACCGCAGGGTGGCGGGTAAACGTAAGGTAGCGTATCCACTCAGTGGCGTCCCAGCCAGGACACTGCAGCAGCACAGATGAATCTCCCATGTGTTACACACGGGCGCATGCAAAAGGCTACATACTTGATTCCATTTATACAAGAGAAGGCAAAGTCTCAGGGAATGAGATCGGTGGTTGTTAGGCACTAGACTGGGGGCAGAGAAGGACTAAAAAGGGGTGTGGGTAGACTTCTGGGGTGACAGATACACTTCACATCTTGACTGTTAGTGCAGCTGTACAACCGTGTACAACCGGCAAAGCTCAGAGAGCTGTCCATTAAAGGGGGGATTTTAACTATATACAGATTATGCTTTGAGAAAAAAAAAAAACAACACAAAAGGTTCAATGTACTTTGAGAGTCAGAGGAATCACCAGATAATCTATAGGGCTCGCATTTTTATACAATTAACTATAAATAATCAAGTCAGAAAATATTTTAATGTTTTACTTTCTAAAATATGAAGGAGCCTATGTTAGCTTACTGTTAGGGAACAAAATGTTTACCACATGGCACAAAGAATTAGACTCCTCTATCAAAACTGCCCAGAACCCAGACTGGCCCAAGTGACTCAAAGCAATGCAAAACAACTCTGCTTGGCACACCTACCTTAATATTATTCAAATTAACTTCAACAAGACGAGCATCATTTTCTTTAATTCTCCTCAAACTCTCCTCAACATTGGTTGGATTTGGTGGCTCATCAAATACTGGAACCATCTTTTCACCTTTTACCACATCTATAACAACAAACAAAAAGTCGGCAAGCTTCCTAATATGGTTTGATCACAACTATGAAGCATTCCTGCCAAAACAAAAACCAAAACCCTGCACCTGAACCTGACCAAGTCATCAGAACTAAGTTTTCTGAGACACAGGGGACAGAAGAACAGAAGATTCTGTCATCAGGTTGCAATGAGCCAAATGCAGAATGTAGAAAATTCTTCCCAACAAATCCAACTTCTTCAAGAAATGAATGTATGAAAAAAAAGAGGGAAAGAGATTGCAGAGAAGTGTGAAAATTGGAGACAGAGAGACAGCTAACTGCAGTGTGTAACCTTTATTTGGATCCTCAGTTGAGCCAAATGTGAAAGTTTTTTGAAATCTGGATATTGACTGGGTGTTGCATGCTAAGATGGGCTACTGTTAATTTTTGTGTTTGATAATGACATTGTGGATATAATAAAAGACTATTTATGAGAGATGTCTAAGGAAATCCTTATGAGTAAAGTAATGCAAATGAAAGACAAATGGTGGGATGCGGCAGATGACTAAAACAAGGACGGACAGACAGTAGTAACAGCTGACGGTAGGTGATGCAAACATTATTTTCTCTTCCTTCACGCAAGCCTGAACATTTCTGTAGTGAAAATATAAACAAGCAAGGGGAATAGCCAATTCATAGAACATAAGATGGAACGTGAGGCAGTGAAGCGACATACATCCATATATACTAAGTGCAATAAAAGTATGATCCACTGCTGAGTGACATGTTACATGGCAGGAAGCTGAGTCCTTACTACCAATTTTATGTGATACTGAGGCTACTTATTTAATCACTTGTAAAGTCCCAACTCCCTCACATGCAAATGAAGGATAATAATGCCAATTTCATAGAAATGCTGTGAGAACTAAACAAAAATATTCCACATTCAAGAGGACTGTAGCACAGTGGGTAAAGCCACCACATACGATGCTGACATCCCATATGGGTGCTGCTTTGTGTCTTGGCTGCTCCCTTCCTAACTCGTAGCTCAGCCCTGGCCACTGTGGCCATCTGGGGAGTGAACCTATGGCTGGAAGCTCTCTCTCTCTTATGAAGATTTATTTATTTTTACTGGAAGGGCAGATTTACAGAAAGAAGGAGAGACAGAAAGATCTTTCCATTCAATAGTTCACTCCCAACTGGCAACACCAGCAGGAGCTGAGCAAATCTGAAGCCAGGAGCTTCTTTTGGGTCTCCCATGCGGGTGTAGGGTCCCAAGACCTTGGGGCCAATCTCGACTGCCTTCCCAGGCCACACGCATGGCCACTGTGACAAACTGGTGCCCATATGGGATCCTGGTGTGAGCAAGGCGAGCACTATAGGCTACCATGCTGGGCACTGATTTCATTCTTGATAAAACCTGCATGACTCAACACTTTGAGGTGAACTTTTGAAAAATCTCAGGCTGAATAGTTTTGTGGTTTTTCTTGAATATATTTTCATATTGTAGTTTCTTTGTTAGTCTTATATTTCTTGAAAATCAGTGATACTCAGAACAAAATGTCAAAACCCCAGTTTAACCAGCTTATATACTGTTTACCACTCATATTATTTACTGAGGTTCTTACTACATTTGCGGATAGAATAAGCATCAAATGTTTACCATTCAAGTCCTGGATCTCTTGCCCTGGCCATGCAGTGGGTGGGGGTGGGGCAGGTCAGGCAGCCCAGGCACCAATGCCACCAGGCAAATCCCTCAGGTTGCCTGGAGGCACGCTCTGGGTTGTGACAGTATGGGGTTACAGGGGGCATGGGGGATGACGCAGGTGGGGGCAAACAAGGACTTGAGGGTTCATGTCCAGGTGAGGAATGACTACTTAGGGACTTCCATAGACAAGGCCAGTGTACTTGCAGGTAAGTGAGGAGGCTGAGACTGAGCTGTTTTGAGGGGAGGTAGAAGGACCTTTTAAGGGTCAGACTAAAGCACCAGCACCCATGGGAGACCTGAGCTGGGGTAGCTAGCATCGACCACCACCAAATACCACTCACTAGAGTACACTAAAGCTAGGACTGAGGCCTACTGGGCAGGCTTGATCACAGTACGCACAGTGAGTGGGAACAGGAGATGCTTACTGGTAGGCTGGTCCATGACCCTAACCAGCACGCGAGACAATCAGGTCTGGGGACAGAATCGGGAGTGTGTACGTAATGTTGGCTCATTCCTGTGGAACTGCAACCCCACTGCCACGTGCAACATCTGGGGCTGGAACGGGCCTGGTTGAGGAGCTAAGGAAACATTCCAGCTTTCCACTGGTGAGTCCAAGAGCCGGAATTAGGGCAGGAGTCTGGGCTGGACATGGCTGCAGCCTCCCTCGGCATGGGTGTGGACTCAGTCTGGAGTAAGCCAGATTAAACTAGACTCCAGCTGAACCATGTGAGAGCTGTGTCTGGGTGTGGACAAGGTGTGACTGGGCTGTAACACCCATTAGTAAGAACTGGAATGGGTGTGGGCCGGTTGGGCAAAGGCCACTGCTCCTGCCAGGACAAGAGGTGGACTAAGTCAACCTGGGCAAGACCCACCGGTGTGCGCGAGCTCTGCCACTGGGACAAGGACTGATAGAGGAGCGTGGGGAACACCCCTGTGAGGAACAGTCCTTGCAGGTGAGCACAAGAACCAAGGAAAGGAGCAGCCCAGACCAGGTGGGGCCAGCTCATAACATCCACTGGCAGATCTGAGAACCAGGATGGGGTGCAGGACAGGCCAGGTTCTTGGGCCAGCCTGTGCGGTGGGTGCCAAGTTCGTGAGCCCTGAGCACGCTGGCTTAGTTCTGAAGTTAAAGATAGTAAAATGAAACGATTGTGCAGAGGCTTGTGACGTGTCTGAGTAAATAGGACAGTTTCTTCTTGAGCTGTTACAGGAGGACACCAAGAGACAGTGTCCGTGTCTTTTCGCTGACTCCACACACCCTTCTCGAGCTCCGAACTTGGCTGGACCTGGCCTCCAGCACCCGCTTTTCCCTGACTCTTGATTCTTCCCACCCTGAGCAACTATGGAAACATGATCAAAGCTAAAAATTAAAAATTAAGCCAATGCTAAAGTTGTTATATGGAGAAAACAAGATATATTTAAGTAAAGAATTAGAATTCACGAAGCACTTAAAGTACTCACTTGAAAAATGTTCTTGGTTGACACCATTACTGCTTCCCACGACATTACAGAACTGTGTATTCGTTATCAAATTGTGCATCCCAAGAATGGCTACAACATAAAAAGGGAAACTTATATTTCTACCTGCTCTAAATATAAACAATTAATTTTACAATCAAATTTATTTTTTGTGAAGAATGTTAACAGTCTCTGGATACTGTCTTATTAAATTCAGTAAGATTTATCAGCTACAGAGAGAGATTAACTATTATCTACAATCTCTCATCAACCCCCTTTCCCCTCCCTGCTTCCATTTCTGCTTGAATTCATCAGAAGCAGCTGGAGTCAGCGTCTAAAAGCAGATAGATGCTGAGCTCCCTCTAGTGGCGAAGAGAAAAACTGACACCTCCAAGCATCTGCTGTTCATCATCAGCTCAACTGCTCCCTCTGCTGGCACTAACACCTTGATCTGGCCAGCTCCAAGCTTCTTCCCAAAGAATCCTCACCACTTCCTTCAAACACGTACGTGACTTTTGGGGGTTATCTCTCCCTTTGCGATACAAGATAAATGTGTACGGGTAGGTGGGGGGAGGGATAAGCGAAAGTGGCAATACTGAAAGCAACAAGGAGGTGTGCAGTGTTGCACACACGTTGGAAAAGCTCATGGTTGGCTCAGGCCTCACTGGTGTGCCTGCTTCCTGGTTACCCATCTCTGGGCCTTTATAAAACAGGACAGCAGCTGAGCCTGAAGAAAGGACAGCCGCTAACGAACGCAGCAGCAGGGGATGAAAGATTTTTAGCAAAACGCAAATTTGCAAACAGAAAATATACAAGATAAAATAAATCCTATCAATACAAAAAAAAAATCAAGAAGCTTTAAGAAAATTAAATCATTCGAATCAGATTTCACCCTTGAAAATACAAAGCCAAACACGTGGTTACTCATTTAACGGCACGCTCCAGGCGAGGCGGGCGTTTCTGTGACACGTGTCGCTTTGTGCAGCTTCTCCCCCGCAGCCCGCGCCCACTCCTAGAGCCCCGCGGTGGAGCGGGTACCTGCCAGGTCGCACAGCTCCGTATCGGAAGCGCTCGTTAGCGCCTCTTCTAGTTCCGGATCCAGAGAGATGGTTTCTTCGGTGAGAGTCTGCACAGGTTTTTGTTTGGGAATAAATATTTTCCCTGTAAGATAAAACATTCTGTTAACTCCACTACTGTTTCTATTCACTTCTGACCATTTTAACCCTCTACAAAACATTACTAAAGAATGAACAACTAAAAATTAAGCTGAATAATTATGTTTCACCTTTCACACCACATACAGGTTTGCCAGGGCAATACTTTGGCTGTACAAAGTGAAAAGAAAAGTGAGACAGCCTCTTATATGTGGGAATAATAAGATGGCTTTGGAGTAACTATGAGTTAATTTATAAACAACTGATTTAACAATAATAATAATAATAAAGAAACAGAAAGCAAACATGGACAACCTATAAACCTATGCTGCTTCTTCTTCAGCAATAAATTGTTAGCCATTTTGGGGATGGCAGAGCAATTACGGTATGTCTTCTTTTTTTAAAATTGAGTTATTTTTACTGGAAAGCCAAATATATAGAGAGAAGATACAGAGAGAAAAATCTTTCATCCGCTAGGTCACTGCCCAAGTGACCGCAACGGCTATAGCTGAGCTGATTTGAACGCAGGAGCCAGGAGCTCTTCCAGGTCTCCCACCTGGGTGCAGGGTCCCAAGGCTTTAGGCCATCCTCAACTGCTTTCCCAGGCCACAGGCAGGGAGCTGGATGGGAAGTGGAGCTGCCAGGATTAGAACTGGCACCCATATGGGATCCCGGTGCATGCGAAGTGAGGATTTTGCCCACTGGGCTACTGGCTGGGCCCACGGTACGTCTTAAGTGGTATTTTCAAACATTTATCAAGACTCCCTATGCCTCAACTGGATAGTAATAAAGTCTTCTGTTTAAAAATGTGCTTACTTGGGACCCGCACCATGGCTCAGTGGGTTAAGCTGCTGCTTGTGGGGATGGCATCCCATGTTAGACCCAGCTGCTCTATTTCTGACCCAGGTCCCTGCTATTACCCCTGGGAAAGCAGAGGAAGACGGCCCACATGCTTGGGTCCCTGCACCCTCATAGGAGACACAGATGAGGCTTTAAAATCCCGGCTTTGACCTGGTCAATCCTTGACCATAGAGGCCATTTGGGGAGTGAACCAGTGGGATGGAAGATCTCTCTTACTCTCTTCTCCTCTATATAATTCTTTCAAATAAATTTACACAAAAAAATGTAGTTTGTCTAGAAATAAAGTATTCATGAATATCAAGATTTATAATCTGTAATGCAAGGCTGAATATAAAAAGGGATGGGAAATGCTAACAGAATGGTAGCACTATGCAATCAGACAATACACACTCAGGCAAGGTGGAGACTGGGCGTCCAGGCAGGTGAAAATTACGTTTTTTAAAAAGATTTATTTATTTATTTAAAGTCAGATATACAGAAGAGGAAAGACAGAGAAATATCTTCCATTTGCTGATTTCACTCCCCAAGTAGCGCAACAGCAGGTGAAAATTCTAACTCAAACTACCTGGGGGCCCAATGTAGTAGCCTAGCAGCTAATGTCCTTGCCTTGCATGTGCTCAGAATCCCATATGGGCGCCGGTTTTAATCCTGCCTGCTCCTCTTCCTATCCAGCTCCCTGCTTGTGGCCTGGGAAAGCAGTCGAGGACGGCCCAAGGTCTTTGGACTCTCTGTATGCATACATCTGGGAGTCCCTGAAGAGGCTCCTGGCTTCAAATCGGTTCAGCTGTGGACGTAGTGAATGCTCAGGATGTGGATCAGTGGATGGAAGATCTTTCTCTCTGTATATCTGCCTTCCCAATGAGTAAATAAATCTTAAAAAAAAAAAAACAAAACAAACTATCTGGAAAGGCTTCTGTGTAAATTTTTTAAACCAATTATTTTCTCCTATATCAACGAACTAACAGGAAGAAATGCGAAAACGCCTAGCCCTAAAATCTAAGAAGTGCTCTACAAAGGAAATTTCCACGGGCGTGCACAGTTAGAGCAGTGTGCTACACTTCTTAAGGTAACTGTCAGTTGCAGTATCCATGAGGAACTACTCTACAACACAAGAATGGTGTCACAAATTTGAACAAGGTGGGTTAGGTATTTTTTGTAAAACCCATCTTAAAAAATAATTATTTTAATCTATTTCAATGACATGTAGTAACAGAACAACAGAGGGAAATCTCCAACCTCTGGCCTCCTTCCCAAATGCCCACAGCAGCCAGGGCTGGACCAGACCAAAGCACACTGTCAGAGCCCTCTGCCTGGGGCATGGCATCCCGCAGGCCCTGGTTCGTGCCCCAGATGCTCCACTTTGGATCCAGCGCCCTGCTAATGCCAGGGAAAGCAGCAGAGAATGGCTCAAGTTCTTGGGCCCCCAGCTTTGGACAGGCCCAGCTCTGACCTTAGCTGCCACTTAGGAAGTAATCTTGAGGATGGAAGATCTCTCTGTGTCTCCTCTAATCAAGTAAAATAAATAAATCTGAAAAAAAAAATTGTTCCCATTTCTCTGAAGAAATTCTTACCGCTGCACACATGCTTGTACCTTCCCCACCAAATTCTTCAGCGTTTTGATCAAGTCCCTGACTAGCTAACACCACCACCGGAGTCAGCATTGTGACTTCATGTTTAAACTCTTCATGGTGAGCCATATATTCTTGTTTTTGTGTGTTTTAAGATCACTGAGTGATGACCTCTTTGTATCATGTATAGCAGACTGAAGCAATGATATATCGGGGTTCACACCCCAAGTGAACACAAAGGCTAGGGCATTTCTTCATAGAAAGGAAGCGTTAGAAGGAGTGAGAGGAACAGCTTCACCTGCTGGTTCACAGCCCAGATGGACACAAAGGCTGGGCCGGGGTAGAAGCCAGAAGCTCCATCGAGGTCTCTCACATGGGCAGCACAGGCCCAAGCCTCGGTCAGGCGCACCATCAAGGACTGGGAATGGAGAAGCCAGGACTGGAACTGGCATTCCCATGGCATGTCAGCGCTTGGCTTACCACCACCCAACTGGTTTCCATTCTGAGGGAAGGACGGTAAGCTTCCCCTGTGGAACTGCAGAGACCCGCTATGCTGCCTACTTTTCTGACCTGTGATCTGTGACAGATTTCCTCCTGACGCACAGCTGGATCCCAGTTTTCCGGGTAGCTGGGGAGACCTCCGTGCTCCAGTTAACAGGTGCCTGGGAGCAGCATATTGAGTCCCGGCTCCCAGCTTTGGCCAAGTTCTGGCTGCTGTAGGCATTTGTGGAGTGATCCAGAGGATCCAGTGCCTTTCCAATCTTTTATTTTTGTTTTTGTTTTAAACTCCGGTGTCTGAGTGTCACACCCAAAATTGGGGTGGACTAGGTCTGCTGTGTTACATAGAGGTACGGGAATTTCTGAGAGCTCTCCAGGGATTCTAAGGCAGAGCAGAAAAGGTTGGCAAGCGACTGGTCATGGTACTCACCTCAAAAACTACGACTGGTATTGACCCTAAGGACCTAAGGCCATGCACATGGTAAACAGCCTGTATCAGACACTCCACGGTGTGAGCAAATATCAAGTACCAATGCTGCACACCACAAATATGACTTTAACTTGTCAATTAAGAAAAAACTACACATGCTATCATCTAACTAACCATGCCTTATTTAAGGCACCACTGGAATCTAAAGCATTATAAAAATCTAAGATGTTTATTTTTATAACCCTTATTCACATTCCTTATGAGGCATTATTCATATCTAATTTTTCCCTATAAATAAATCCTTGCTAATGCTTGCAAATAGAAAGTGAATTTCACTAGAACAAAAACAAGGCAAGAAAAAACAAAATTTCCAAGAAGTTACAGAAATTATTTGACATGGATTTTTGCTGTTTTATACAGTTTGATACAATTTGGTACTTCTGCTTTCTTCATTTTGCTAGTTTCTCTAAAAACAGACTGCTACAGGAATATTTAGCCTATACCACATTGTGTTGTGTTTTTAACAAGAAAAGTAATTTATTCATATTTTCCTCAAGGTTATTTTGTGAAAAACTATTTTTAAAAAATTAACAGTAGAGGTAAAAAGAGACTGGGAGGGCTTCCAACTGTTGGCCCAGCAGCCAGAGCAGGTAGGTGCACAGCAGCTCAGCACTCGGCCCCTTGAGGCCCTGCTGCCTCCCCAGGCCTGCATGAGCAGGAAGCTGGAATAGGAACATGAGCTTAGACAAGAACCCAGGGACCCGAAGGAGTATTTAAACACTAAGAAATTCTTTTAATGTGTTCATGTACAGAGGGTCTAGTTAGAGAAAGATAAAAACAGAGAAATTAAATTTGGAAGAAAGGCTAAACTAGTCAAGATCTAAATTTAGCATTATGAACTCAAAATCTAAGGAACTCTGTCTAAACTGATCCTAGGACACAGAAAAATCTCTTTCAAAATCCCAGTTGGGGGCCCGGCGCAGTGGCGCAAGTGGTTAAAGGTCCTCGCCTTGCACACCCGGGATCCCATATGGCAGCCGGTTCTAATCCCGGCAGCCCTGCTTCCCTTCCAGCTCCCTGCCTGTGGCCTGGGAAAGCAGTCGAGGACAGCCCAAAGCTTTGGGAACCTGCACCCGCGTGGGAGACCTGGAAGAGGCTCCTGGCTTCGGATTGGCATAGTATCGGCCCGTTGCGCTCACTTGGGGAGTGAATCATCGGGCGGAAGATCTTCCTCTCTGTCTCTCCTCTCTGTATATCCGCCTTTCCAATCAAAAAAAATAATAATAAAAATAAATCTTTAAAAAAAAAAAATCCCAGTTGGGAGGCTCGTGTTGTGGCCTTGTAAGTTAAGCCTCTGCCTTTGGTGCCAGCATCCCATATGGGCATAGGTTCCAGTCTTGGCTCTCCTACTTCCAATCCAGCTGCCTACTCAGAGCCTAAAACAGCAGCAGAGGAGAGCCCCAGGCCTCGGATTCCTGCACCCAATGGCAGACTTGGAAGGGCTACTGGCTCCTGGCTTCTGCCTGGCCTAACATTTGGATAGTGAACCAGTGGCTTCCCTCTCCACCCAGCCCCTTAACTCTGACCTTCAAACATGAATCTTGAAAACACACACACACACACACACACACCCCTCAGGGCTGGCACAAT